CCATTGTGTGCCCTGGCCCCCACCCAGAGCTTTCCATCTGCAGGCTACACAGCACCACAGGCTGCCCTGCCCTGCCTTCCCTGCCTGGGGCAGGAAGCGGAAACTGAAGGAGGAAGAGAGGGGCTCAGAGACCTCAGCTGCTCATATTCCTTTATTTTCCTATAATTTCCAAGAAAATTCTCTAAAAATAATGTTACTATAGAACTAAAGCTCTTCTTTCCAAAAGTGACTATTGTTATGAGGTGCCTCAGTTTTTAAGTGCTCAAACTGTTGAGTCTGATTTTCAGAAAGTACTCATCTTCTAAAAACCATAATCCTTTTAAATTGTCTCAGATTGGGCACCTAGGCTCATTCACTGTTTTTTAAAATCTTGGTCTTTGTTACTACTTAAAGCAGTAAAAGAAGCTATTCTGGGGGGGAAGAATTGTTTTTATTCCTCATTTCCTAATCATCCCAAAAGTAGTACTTGGAAATAAAGCAATTAACCAAGAGCAGCAGAATGGTTAAAATGTTTTTATCCTTTTTCACATAGGTTCTGAGGTTGGACTCTTACCACCAGCTAGACCTGTAATTTTGGACTTTGTGGGAATTTTGTATAATCCACAATTATGGATTTTTTTTTTTTTTTTTGCTTGAAATCTGAAGGGGTTATTTGAAGTTCACACGTTTGTTTCAGAAAAAGCTATTCATGAGAGATTTCAATTTACGTAACGTGATTAGTCTACAGCCTAAATCTAATTCAAGAAAGTAAGCATATCAAATGTTAGAGGGGCACAGGATGACCGCAAGATAACTGGGATTAGCAAAATTAGCTATAGTCACGGAATGGCAACTGGCAAGTCCGTTCTGTTAAATGGTTTGTAGACACGATAGTATAGGTGAGTTTCAAGAGCTGATTTAAAAGAGGATAATGTAGTGGATTTAGGAATTAATACAAAGAGCTCCTCCAACATATAAAGGACAACATGAGAGAGAGTGTAAAGGTATTGGTATGCAAATTTTGGCAAATAATGTAGATGCTCATTAAAGTTGGATGAGGAAACTACTCAACTAAAATATTGGGAGAAAAATCTAGAATACAATAGAAGAGATTACCTTCATTAATTATGTACAGTATAACAATAATTTCAGCATTTTCTGCCACAGGTATGGTCCTTACTTCTAATTTCCCCACCTCAATTTTCCTTCTAGCTGTTCATTTCTTCTAGGTTTGTCATGAAATCTCTGCTGTACTATCTAAAAAAATCACTTTGTGAGCATTTATTAAAAACAAGGGTTATATTGATACTACATATTGATACTGTGATCATGATTGGTAATATTGATACTCTGCCTGTAAATACTGATGACAATATATTGTATAATTCTTCATGAGTTTGAATAAGTTTAACTTAACTTTTTTTTTTTTTAAGCATCTGTGCAACCAGTATCGACAATGGAAATTAATGTTGTTGTTAAAAATCCAGAGATTGTGTTTGTGGCTGATTTAACAAGAAGTGAGGCTCGTTCATTAGTACTTACAACACAGTGTGAAATCTTCATTAAAAATTCCCCTCAGTTATATAAAATGACAGCTGCTGTTAAAGAGATGCAAATGAAAGCATGCCCCTTTCTTCCAGAAAAAAGAAAAGGGAATATTACTACGGTGAGTTTCCCCTACGTGTTTGCAAATTATAACAAGTGTACTAAGTCTTTTTTGACATACAAGAAATGAAATAGTTATAATCCTGAGTCTGTGGATATAATGCTGAAGATATTTAGGAAAAATTAGTCTTGTGTGAATAGCCATTTGACAGTCTGTGGTTCAGATGTATCTTATGCTGTTAATGTTTTTATTTTGTCACATGCAGAAAAATGGGTTAGGGTTTTATGGTATTTATAAATGTACCTGTTAGTGTTAAGGTTTTTTTTATTTCTGAAGTTGAGTATTCTCTCTGTGGCTACAATTCTTCTGATTATAGCATCCCAATCTATAGCTTTTGTTTTCTTAAAATGGAAAATTGCAAGTCTAAGGAAAGAAGATGCTATGGTTCCTGGATATGCTGTATAAACTAAACCAGTGATTCCCAACCAGGGTGCTGTGGCATCTTGGGGTACCTTGCCATCCTTTCAAAGGTGTCGTGGGATTCCATGCAATATTAGCATTTTAAGATAATGCAATGACTGACGACCTAAACCTAGAGATTTAAAATAGAAATCCGTGGTGTTAAAAATATATTCACTTTTTGTGGCCTTTTTTAGTTCTTTGCAACAGAAAATTTGCTTTATTTTTCTATAGTAAAAAAAAATGACTGAAAACTGTGAGCCACTATCTTCTCAGGGATGCCTTGAGTATGAAAAAGGTTGAGAACCACTGAACTAAACTTAAGGGCAGCTTGATTATAATCCAGTACTAACAGTGTCTCAACATCAAGGGCAGCATAATAACATTTTTTGTCTGCAGCAGGAGAATTTGTTGCTTTCCCCATTTCCCTGTCTCAAAGTACATTTCACACAATCTTTAGTTAAGGGAAATAGATTTAACTTGTCCTGGCTGTCAGCAGTAGGGAGCTTAAGGCAGTAGTTCCATACAGTTGTGACAGGTCTGATTCTGCTCCCAAACTGCAAGCAGGTTTCTGTAAGGGAAACATGGAGCTTTATTTTCAGGTAAGATTAGACATTTTTTCTATAGCCTACTTTGACATGCTAATTACCTAGCTAGGCTGAAAAACAAACATCTTTATTTTGTGTTAAAGGAAGAATCAGTTTCTCATTTTCAAGAGCCAAGAGAATTATCATTGATAACTTTTTCCCCTTAACTCTTCCTAAATAGTGTTTTAGGTGAGAAACTTGCAGCTATATCTACTCTAATTATTATATATTACAAATCTGATAAACTCTCTCATTCAGGTATTGCAACCTTGTGATCTCTTCTTTGAAATGCTGCAGTCAGGTACTAATCCACAAATGATCGAAGTGTCAATTAAATCCCTAACAGTAAAGGTAGGTTAAATTTTATTTCAACTCCTCCACCTGTACTTCCTCCAAGATACCCTCTTCCCCCAGCTATTTTGAAAATTTACTAGGTTTTAAATATGTGAAAGACCTGAAGCAGACAATTGAGTCTCAGTCTTCCTTCTCATAGGTTTTTTTTCATCACTCTAGTAACAGTGGTTGTTCCTATTAACAACATAAAAAGTTCTTCAATTGTGTACAGGTTGATAACACCACATCTGGTATTAGTGTCATCTCTTTCAGTGCCACTATTGATGTAGTACCAGTGTGGATGAAAATCATAGCAATTAAATAATTCTCCCACTACTATATAATGAGACAGAAGACGCTTAGGTGGCTTATCTGGTTTGTGTTCTGCCTTCTATTCCCACTTCCAACAATTACCTTGGAAGCATGTGCCATAGTTTTCCATCTGTAAAATTGTGATAATACGCTCTCCTTTCAGTGGGGTATTTTGAAGAGCATTACTGTTTATGAAAAATTCATTTGCCATAGTAATGAGATCCATAGAAAAGCCCATGAGAGAATTTAGTCATTTTGTTTTCAGTGCACCTGTTTCAAGAGTGTGCAGTAAGTAAGGGGTGTGGAAGCACCCCAGGAATGTGTCTCAAAGGTGTACACAGGCTGCATCCAGGGCCAGGACCTGTCACACTATGCTTGGTTGTTATTTTTTTTTTTTTGCAAATGTGAACTGATCTACCTGCTAACTGATGACATTTTGAAATGCGTCCCATTACTTATTTTAAGAGAGCCTGTCAGCATATTGCCCAAATTATAAGTATTTTGTTCACATGTTTGACAGTAGTGTAATGAGGGTGGGGCAGTAGCTATGGGCACTGACTTGAGGTGGTGGGGAGGGGCGGAAGAAGAACTAGTGCCACCACAGCTGCACAGTCCTGGGCACCCAATGGCCTTGTTACAGCTCTGCACATTATTCCTGGATCTTCTTATTAGGCCTATGCGCATAGGGAAGTATTTGATTCGGATTCAGCTGATTTGGAGGACAGTGATTCAATTCGGATCATTGTCCGAAATCAATTTGACTGAATCTGCTTTGGAAGATTCAGCGCCAGTTCAAAGATATTTGGAGATTAGGCGTAAGCTATAATGGGGAATCACAGAAATACCTATAACTTGGTCATTTTTTGGCTGAATGGGATAAGAATTGCAGGGATGGTAGCCCCTTCTGAGGATGTGAAGTGATAGGTGCAGGGGTTTCTGGGAAACTGCACCTCAGGCTGCTGACAAGCAAAATTCGTGACATGTGACTGTGTGTGTGTTAAGGCACAGCAGGGTGAAAACTATAGGGATGGATTTGTAGCCCCTGTTCTCACCCTCACAACTCCACTGCAACTAGTAAGCCTCAGGCCTCTCAAAGATCTTATGAGTCTGGGCTTTCCCCAGCCAGGGTTGTGCAGTGGTTGGAGGTTATCAGGTGCCTCCTGATCCTACCTGCCTTTCACCAGGAAGGTTTGTGGTCCTGGCATTTCCTGGGGCTGCTATGTCACTGGCAGTCGCACCCAGGCCTCCCTACCCTGGCAGGGTGTAGTTTTAGGTCATGCCTAGGATGATGTAGGGCTGCCTCCTCCCCATGTAGCCCCAGCCCTTATACCTCCAAGTTCTTCCTGGCATGGGAGCTCAGCAGGGTGATGTTCTTCCCCTGCTGGCTGGTGAGCAACTAAACTGCTGCCTCCAGCTGTGAGAGTGGGGCATTAAATGACCGCCCTCATTAGCACCTGTCCTGTCACATACATAGCCCCTTGTGCGGGCATGATAGAGGCCTGCCAGGTTTCAGGTGGAGTGCTGCAGGGGTTTCTGTGAAACTGCAACTCAAACTGCTGAAAGCAAAACTCGTGTCACTTGTGTGTGTTAAGGGATGTAGGTTGTAGCCGTGTTGGTCTAAGGACGTAGCCCAGGCAAGGTTCTTAGGGTCAATCTGATATCTTTTATTAGACCAACTGAATAGTTGGAGAAATTCTTCTTTGAAAGCTTTCAGGTGTAAAAAACCCTTTGTCAAGCTGAGGAAGCATCTAGTTGGTGTGTGTGTGCTCTTCCTGGATGGAAGGAATAGTAATGAAGCCAGAGGCTGGCATGCAGTGCAGGCAAGAAAGCCAGTCAGTGAAAATGGAAATGGAGGCATTAGGGGGTGAGAGAGACAGGCTGGGGTAGGGGGGGAGAGGGATGTAGCAGGTAAAAGTGGAGAGGTACCTGCTGCTACATGGGGAGTCAGATGTCAGGCAGGTTGTAGTGTAATAAATCCAATGTCTATATTGAGTCTGTGAGTTTCTGTATCTAGGAGGCTGATGAAATGAAGCTCATAGGCCCCTCTATGAAAAGTGTTTTGTAAATTCAAACAAGCACCAAACCTTGCTAACCTCATCACCAGAAGCCAACTTCCTATAGCCCAAAACTCACTGAATGGATCCAGACCATGCCATGACAAGACATGCAAAACCTGCTGGCATATCTCCAGTACTCCCACAAACTGTGCACCAGAATCTATCAAAGACAAGAATACCCAACTACCTGTGGGGGCACATTTCTCACAAGAAAACCACTCTGTTTTTCTCCCAGTTCGATTTGAATTTGATGATTCAGCCTCTGAATCTTCTCCAAATTGAATCAGCAACCAAAGTTTTGTACACTCCTACTTGTTATGGTTTCTTAGTGTTCCTGATCTGTCAGAACAAGCATTCTTGCTCACTTTTTCCAACCTGGGACCTAGCTGTTGTGTTTTAAGGTTCTTGTAGCTCTTCTTTGGGACACGACTCCCATTTCACTCAGATATATTTTTTTCAAAACCTTTCTTTTCTGATGGCTATTATTTTAGCTCAAATGAACTCTGAAATACCAATCTCAGCCCATTCTGTTTTTCATAATAACAGTGCTGCCTTTTACATTCCCATATTTTTTTAAACAAAGGTAAATGCATCTTTCCACACTACCCAGGACAGTCATTTCACTTTTCTTTTTATTTCAGTCTTTAGCATAAAATGATAAAATAAGCTAGAAGCTAAATAGAAGCTGCAACAAAAACCAGATTGATCAGTTTAGAGCATGACAATGGTTTCCTTTCCTCTTAAGGCTTGTTTTAGAAGCCATTGAAGCTGTCAATTAATGCAGTGCGTAAAATGTAACACTTTCCAAAATATGTACAGTAGCGAGAGAACCCATTCATGCCAGCTTTGTGGGCTGAAATGGTCTTAGCTCTCACAGAAGAAATGTGCAAGGCTGTCACTTAGTCTTGATCAGCAACTTTTATTAGATTTGGTCAGACAGTCTTCAAAAGCATCTCTTGACAAGAAATAATGATCTCAAAGATGGATGCCCTTTGGGTATTACCTTTGGGAAGTGGGAGCTTAATTTTCTGTCATGCATTATTTGTTTCTCCTTCCCAACTATTTTTCATGTCCTTTACTAACTTCTTCTAATAAATGGGAAAGAGGCCAGCATCTAAAATGGAAAACATGGTACATATTATTTTCTTTTATATACTAGAACTCTCCTTCAACTTGTCTTGCATTTTCTGAAGTCTATACATGGTTAACATAGTTATGTTTTCAGGTTATTAGCAAAAGATTTTAGTGTTATAACAATCTGAAAGCTTTTTATTTGGAAGATATATTGAACGGTTATGGCATAACTAAGAAAGCAACTTTCTAGCAGAGGATGGCTTAACCCCAGAGTAATTCCCGGAACTGTTTCTAGCGTATGCAGAGGGACAACTTAATCTAAGTGCTGAATTAAGAAGGGAGAGGCCAGTCACAGGAGGGAAAGTTGCAGGTATTGTAACAAATATTAGACATAACTTTGACCAAAAACAAAAATTCCCCAGTAAGACATTAGAAAGTAGTTGATATTTTCTCTATACTAATTTCCACGTTTTCCAATCATCAAACATTATAAATAATTTTTTTCATAGGTTTCACCAATTATCATAAATACAGTGATGACTATTATGTCAGCCTTTTCTCCAACGGCAGAGACTGCACAGGAAGAGATTAGTCCAGTTCCTCCAGACTTGTGGGATAAGAAAGATGTAAAAAATCTAAAACTGTGGTTTCTTGAAGAGTCAAGTAAAAATGAAAATACAGATACACTAGCAGAGTTGGTTCCTACAGGAGAGACCTTACACATGGAAATTGCATCAGTCATCATAACTCTTGAAGCTGGGGTGGGTCACAGAACAGTACCTATGCTTCTGGCAAAATCAGCATTTTCTGGTGAGGTCAAAAACTGGAGTACCCTCATCAACCTTCATTCCCAGCTTGAACTAGAGGTAAGGATTTAGCAGCTTAAATAAATTTCCCTTTCTCAGAACTGAGAGGAAGGTCTTGTAGCAAGCACAAGTGCAGCTTTATCTGCTTTCTAAATTGAGCAAACAAATCAAAGGCAAAAATAAGGTACCTAATAACTGAAATCAGATGCATTAAAAACTTAATTGTAATGCTTTCTAGAACACAACAGGTATAGGCCCCAAGGGCACCTATACACATGCACTGAGGCTGCTTCAACACGCTGTAATTACAACAGCATGGTAATTACCATGCTACAGCATCCCTGTGCTGAAAAATGATGGCGGGGGCACTTTAATAAAAGCTCATGTGACAAACTTTAGTTAAAGCACCGCCACAACCATTTTTCAGACTGGGGACGCTGATACACATGACATGTTTTAATTAGAGTGGCTCTCCGAGCTGCTCTAACTAAAGCACACCCCTCTCCCCCCACCTCCTGGAGCATGTATATAAATGCCCCAAGTGTTTTACTGCAGTAATTTTAATCAGTAATTGTAATATGCTGTGACAGTGTTAATATAATGCATCACTATAGAATATGGTTTGTTACCTAACCCCCTGCAAAGGTACATGCTTTGGGTTCATAGTTGAGAACATTTTTTTTATAACATTCACTAATTATTTAATTTTTTTCATATTCCTTTATTCTATACATCTGTGCAAGATCATCTTTTGCAAGAAACTAAAAGCATTAGTTAGTCCCTACCCTGAATATTTATAGCATAGTTTCCCATTCCTGCAAACACTTAGGTATATGCTTCATTTTATGATTGCAAATAATTCCAGTTATATCAACCAAATATATCTGTTGCATCCATGCAAATATGGTAGAAGAAAGATGTAGGGTAAGTTTCAAAAATACTTAGGTTCTGATGATTGTGTTTTGAGTCTATAAATCACCTTTTGTGTGCTCCTGGCACAAAATTCTGTTATCATTTACTTGCATACCACGTGCACCTTTTTCCCAGAAATCAGCTTTCCATAGTTGGAGTGCATGTCTTAAGCAGGGAAGCAGTCTTTCTGTGCTGGAACGAAGGAATGGAATCATTAAGACGCTATAAATGGCTGCCATGCTGCGCCCCCTGTCAGCCTCAGGGGAGGGAGGGGGCAGAGTCCATGTCAGAGGTAGTGTTAACTCCTTCAGAACTGCTGTGGAATGGACAGTAGCTTTTGATTGAGCAGCCAACAGCTGCTGTCATTTCACCAGGGGCTGAGAGAGAGAGGGTCAACACTTTAGGTTTTGCCTGAGCAGCATTGCTCAATATTCAGCCATATAATCAGGATCCCCTGCCATCAGAATTCACCAATGACTTGGGGCAGGATCTTTTTTCTTCATTTTATCTTTCCAAAACAAGGTTTGCATCTTATTTGGGAGTCTGTGGTATGCAAGAAAATACAGTATGTCATGTCCATGTGATTTTTGTATTTATTCAGGTACATTACTTTAATGAGATGTTTGGTGTGTGGGAACCTTTGCTTGAACCACTAGAAATTGAAAAGAGTGATGATTTCAAACCGTGGACTCTTGGAATCAAGGTATGCTTTCAAAATTAAAACAGCTGATTTCCAAGGCCAGTTTGTAAATAACCTTAGAATTGAAATATTAACCATCAGAGTGAGAAGATTTAAAATTCATGTGAATATCCCGTTCTTAACTGTTTCCATAGGTTAAGGCAAGAGGTTGCAGAATGTGTTATGAGGGTCATCTGCAAGTAATGGCTTCTATTTTTCTAATAGTTAATATACATTTTGTACATCATTGCTGAACGCACAGCCAATTTTAAACATACTCCCCTGTTAATGGTTTTTTCACATTGAACAAAGGCATGTATCCCAACATGTAAAAGACCTTGTTCTTGTTGCACAACCACTGCTGCACAGCCTCCATTACTTTGTTGTCATACCATAAATGTTGTCTTTGTAGTCTCCCCTTTATCATCTAAGCTGTATGGAGGATGGGCTAACACAGTGTAGGAGTAGTTAATGTGTGGAACGTGTGCCACCAGTGACACAAGCAGCTTCTGTGACATGCAACAGATTGGTGGAGGTAACACTGGCAGAAAGGGCTGGGAGCAGAGAGGAGAAGAGCATATCGAACAGAAGAAAAGGGAGTGGCACTTGGGAAGGGCATGGTGGTAATTTGGGGCAGGAAATTTGGCAGCAGGGGAGTGGTGGATGCAGTCACCCTCCCCCCGCCAAATTCCCAAATCCCAAGCCCAGCCACACTCCCTTCCCCACTTCTGGATCTGAGCCAACCCATCCCCCATCCAGCTCCTTGCCCCTTGGTGGTGTGGTGTCCGACCAGCTTGCCGGCCTATGGCCGGGAGCCCGGAGCGTTAGGTGGGTACTTCAGCGAGTGAAGCGGATTAGGCACAGATGCGTATTGGTAAAATAGATTGTTTACTTACGCCGCCGATGCGTGCAGCGCAGGAAGAAGCTGACTTTGGTTGCAGTTACAAACGTAGTGAGAGCTCTTTAAAACGAGACGAGACGTTCGGTAAATGGCTTATCGAGCATGCAGGAGAAGGGGTACGTCAAGGAGGTCGGTGACGGGGAGTCGGTGGGTGATCAGTCCGCCAAGTTTACTCTGGGTTGCGTGCGGAGTTCTCCAACGAGGGTGGAAGCTGCTCATACTGTTAAATAGTTAACAGGCCAATTGCTAGTTGCCAAGTGGGAATAATTTGTAACCGGCCAATGGGTGGCAGCCAATTACAAGGGCTTGTGAAGTTTAAACAAATGTAGTCGTTGGGCTTGGTGGGGATTTTTCACTGTGCCATAGGCATTTACTTAATGGGTTCTGACAGGTGGGACCTGGTTGGGGCCAAGCAATATCCCCTTTTCCCCTTCAGGGCTGGGCCACACCTCTTCTCTTCCTCCCGTGGGTCTAAACCACTGGTTCTCAACCTTTTTTGCACCAGGTCCCATTTGTAAACACTTGATGGCCAGTCCTGACCCACTGCCCCCAGTGTGTGGGAACTCTGACAGCCTGCACGGGAGAAACCACAGTTTCCCATGGTTTTCTCCTTTAAAAGAGAATCCATTTTTAAAGGTTTTTTTTTTATCCATTTTCAAAGTTTGTTCACGACCCTTCCATATATTCTGGCAACCCACGTTTGAGTCGCAACCCATGGGTTGAGAAACGCTAGTTTAAGCCAATACCCCCTTTTTTCCCCTGTGGTGCCAAGCCATGCCCCCTTTTTCTGCCGAGGGGCTGGGCCTCAACCCTTTCCCCCTTGGAGCCAAGCTATGCCCCCTTTCTCCCACGGGGCCAGGTTGCAGCTGGGCTACCTCATGCCAGTCTCCAGAGGGCCGGATGGTGCTCACCATGTCAACCTCAGTGCTGTATTGGGACCACCAGCAGGTTCCAGCCCAGCCAATCCACCAGGGAATAAGGTTAAGCGCTTAGGAGATAAAGATTAGGAAGTGTTACTTTTTTACTCATCCATATATAAAGATATGTCTCCAACTACATATGTTAGTAGTTTTTGTCTCTGCAGTGCTTTACTAAAACATGTATGAGCTTTAGCTTACAAAGAGAAATTGTCCACATAATGCATTGTAATGGTAAATCCTTTCCAGCTATTCATCAAAATACATGTTTAAAACTGACTGCCTATCTTGTATGCATACCAGCCCAGCCTCTGGCTTCTTTACTTTTCATTCCATCCAGGAAGAGCACACACCAACTGCTGAAACTTCCTCAACCCGACGAAGGGTTTTTGAACACGAAAGCTTGCTTAATTTTTTTTTCCCAACTACTTAAGTTGGTCTAATAAAAGATATCAGATTCACCCAAAGAACCTTGTCTGCCTATGTTTAAAACTTAATTTTTAAATTATTTGTGTACAAAAGACGCAATCATTTTCTTACTTTATATTGACTAAATCAGATATTTTCTATCTGATTAGAATGTGATCTTTGCCTATGACTGCCAATTATCAGTTCATATGGTGCCTTTATCTTTGACAATGTAAAACAGGTATTTTGAGTGGAAAGCAACTTATCTGTAATTATCAGTGGAATAAGTTTTTTGGTGGGCATTCAGGTGCTGTTTAACTTAAGGTTTGTCCTTTTTAAGTAGTCATCTTATGCTCATGAAATCTGCTAGCTTTATGTATTGTTCTAATAATCAGTTGCACTAAGTGGCCACTAATTCAGTTTGGCTCATAATTTTCCATTAAAGACCTGTAATCTGAAAATTTAATTTTTTCTGAATTCCTTATTGCACAGGGTTTATTTTGCTGCTGCTTCAGATTTGTAGGCTGCTGTAACAACAGTTAACTCTTATGTTCAAGGAACTATATTCCAAGCACTCCAATCACTTTCCCTTCCTGTTCTTGTAAGTGCGCTTGCAGGGACAAGAAATGAGAGAGAGAAGTGTTAGACCGTTCCTTTTGTTTTTATTGACTTGAGGTGTCCTCAGTAGATTTATGGAGGAAATCTACTCCGTTACTGTCATCTTGCAAAATCTACCTGAAAATATTGCTTGTAGCTTCTCATGTCTTATTGAAACAGTGTTTGGTTCTCAGTTTCAGAAGATTGTGGATACTTTTGGAATCAATTATTATTTTTGGTTTTAAAATCCAGTTCTACAGGCCTCTAACTCTTGGACAATTTTAACCCGTCTTCAGGATTTCTAAGGGGAGAGATGCAGCCCAAATATTCTGTGGGTTAGTGTTCCTGGAAAAGAATCGTTTGCTAATAAATTTTCTTTTTTTCTTTTTTTCTTTTTCTTTAATTTTTGGCTTATTAAGGTGAAAAAGAAGGCTAAAAAAGCACTAGTTGAGTCAGATGCGGAGGAAGAACAGTACAAGGTGCCAGAATATAAAACAGCAATAAACATCTCCTCAAAAGACCAGCTGAACATTACACTATCCAAATGTGGACTACTGATGTTGAATAACTTGGGCACGGTAAGAAATAATATCTTTGCATTTAAATACTTTTCTCAAGGCCAAGAAGTTCAATGAAGATTTGACTAATTTGTATCTGGGTATTCAGATTAAATAATACATGTGTATTTGATACAATTTTGTTGTTTCGTTCTTTTAACTCCATCTTTTAAAAATTATATTTTGTTCTTTAGGCATTTGCCGAAGCAGCTAGCCAAACTTCAGATATCTTCAAAAAAGATCGAGCGCCATTTGTAGTAATGAATTCTTTAGGACTTCCCATCACTGTATCGCCCAGTGATGCCTTTAGTGTGATAAATGATAAATCTGGAGGAAAATCTTTTCAGTTAAAAGATGGAGAAAGTCTAAATATGGACTATCTCAGAACCAAAAGTGAGAGTGACCAGTTCACAGCAATGACTACCCTAAGCAGCAAAAGGTTTTACATTCAACTTAGTAAGTACATAATAAATCTTTCACTTTTATAGACATCAGTGGTACATCTTCTTGGTCGTGATATAATGTACTTTGTATGCCCCTCTTCTCCAGAAATGAGCAATTGATGGGTTTCCAAACACATGGCATTAATATGCTTTAAAGTTGCATTAGCTGTTTTCTGTGCGTGTAAATGAAAACATAATATGCACGTAAGCATAATTACGGTGCTCCTCCATTTATACTTATGCACATAATGGGTTAGTTTGATTTTCATTGTGTAACCATACACAAGTAGGTAATTTTTCTTTTGCAACCACAATTCATTTTGAATATAAAATTATGTTTCTAGGACGACCAACTTTTGAGAAAAAATGTTATTTGTGTTCCTGGAAACGGTAAACATTAATTTAGATTTTAAAGAAAAGTGCTGTGATCAAATTAAAAAAAATTTTTTACAATCCATTTTAATATAGTACAATTTATAATTAAATCCTAATTTCAGTTGTAGCTTATTAGTTGCTAACTTGGACCTTTTTAAAACTGGTCTTTCAAAGCAGAGTGAAGCACATTTGTTTGATTGAAAAACATTAATGAGTGAAGCTATTCTCTTGATATGAAGTAGTTGCATCACAATAATAAGCCTCTTAAAATGTAAAACATGGGCCCCTCTACAAGTTACAGGTATTACTCACTTAAGGTAATTGTGTTAAGTGAGTAGTTGAGACCAGCTACACATGCAATGTAGCTGTCATGCCATAAAAAGGTTCAACTGGCTATAAAGTTAGACCTTGAACATGTGTAGTAACTTTATAAAAAAATAAATAAAGCTGGTTGCTATCAAGCTTTAATTTGCATATGTAGCAGGCTGTCTCCTGTGACCGGGAGCCCTGTTAGCTGATAGGGGGTGTTTATAGACGTGCTTCGGGAGGTTGGGGGTGGGAAGCACTTTAATTAGCGAGCTGCGCTAAGTAAAAGTGCCTTAGCGTTGTGTGTATCAGTGTCCCCATGCTGAAAAATGGTAGTTTTGAAAGTGGAGTTTTGAACTAAAGGTCATCGAACAAGCTTTAATTTAAAGCGCCCCACTGCCATTTTTCACCGCAGGGGCACTGATACACGTGACACTGGAGGCTGCTGGAGTGAGTTAATTTCCATGCTCCAGCAGACTCGATTAATCATGTCTGGTCCAATGTGCTGGATTTACAGCCTCACTGGATTTATACAGCATGTCATAACAGCCTTGCTGCACATCTATAGAAGTCCAGGGTTCCCGGATGCAGGGCTGTAGCATGCCAAACTGGGTCTGGGAGTCCTGCAACTGAGGGGACTCTCAGCCCCAGCCCAACTGGGTCCTGGCAGCATCAGAGTTCTGTAGCTGTGGGTGCTGGGTGCCAGGATCCAGCTAGGGTCCACCAGCCAGGGGGCACAGCTACCCCAGGGGTCTGTGAAACCCTTGGGGTTGGGGGATCATGGCAGCTGTGATGCCTCAGCCTCAGGGATGTGTCTGTTGTGATCCAGCTGAGGGGGTCCCATCCGCATTCATTTTGATGTATACTGAATAGATAATAGAGAATTTTAAAATGAGGGATTAGCTTTTAATTTCTGGGGGTGGGGAAACGTAGTATTTTGTTGTGATATTGTGCAGCTTTACTTTTAAGAGTACCGTTCAGATAACCAGTTACATATTTGTAATCCAGTGAATGATGTTTGTGCTTCCAGATTAGCACACAACAGTAAGTATTCTTGAGCAGAGATTTTTCTATATAACCTTTTTTTTTTTCTTCAAATGTATATGCATACTACTTTGATGCTTTCTGATTTCTAACTGTATATACATTTTGATTTCTAGGTCCTCATAGTCACTCCACAGCTGATAAGATTCCATTGACAAAAGTGGGCCGATTTCTTTACAGAGTAAGACATGAAGGATCTGGTGTTGAAAGGTTCATTGTTTGTCAGATTGATACTATTGAAGGAAGTAAGATGATAACTGTACGTTCACCTGTGCAGGTACTAGAGTTTTCTTACAATATCTTTTTATTAGTCATTAATGTATGTAAGCAAACCAGTGTTAGTATTTATTTTACAGCCATGTTTAAGAACATTTGTAGAAAGAAACGTTTTGGATCAGGATCACAAAATGATTCTCTTTTCGTACGAAAAAAGTTTTCTTTGTGAACTAAGAAAAGGTTTTCTTGGTGGGGTGGGTGGGAGAGATTGAAAATGGATAGACAATTCACTGAGTATTTGTTCACTGGGAGCTATTAAAAGCAACAGGGATATGACATCCCTTAATCCAGGATGATCGATGCAATGGAGTGTGAGACAAGGGATTAGCCCAGGGTTGGGCAAAATACAGCTCGCGGGCGTATCCGGCCCATAGGGCCCCAAAAACGTTTAGAAAATTAATATTTATCTGCCCTTGGTTCCTGTCATTTTTGACAGGAACCAAGGGCAGTAGGACAACAGCAGGGCTCACCCAAACCCACCAGGACTTCTGGCCTGAGAGCATGTGGCTGCCCCAGTGGCGCTGGAACCTCAGGTAAGGGGGAGGGGGGAGGCAGAGGAGGACCCCAGGCAGGAAAGGAGCCCAGGGAAAGTGGCCCAGGGAAAAGCAGAGTGCGGGCAGGGGGAAGCAGCCCCTCGCCTGCCCCGTGGCTGGCACCCTGCGCTGCAGCTGCTTGCAGCCCGCATGGGGCTGCCTGTGCCTGCTCCAGACAGCCCTGTGGGCTGCGAGCGGTTGCAGCAGGGAGCACCGGCCGTGGGGCGAGGGAGGGGCCACTTTTCCCTGTGCTCAGCTTTTCCCCAGGCTCCTTCCCAGTGTGGAGGAAAGCAGCCCCTCCCCCGCCCCATGCCTGGCACTGCGAGCGGCTGCAGCATGGGGCACCAGGCACGGAGCGGGCAAGGGGCTGCTTCCCCCAAGTACCACCTTGTAACCCGGCCCCACTGCCAGCCTGGGCCCCTCGCTGGCTCTGACCTCGCCTGCTGGGGCTGCGTGTGGCAACAGCAGCTGCGGGGCCCCCCCCCCCCCTTGCCGCACCGGGCAGTGTTTGCCACTTTCTCCTCTGGGCTGCCCAGCACATGAGCTCTAGGCGAGCAGCTGCAGCCAACACTGCCCGGCAGCCAACACTGCCCGGCGCGGCAAGCTGGGGGGGGGTCGCAGCTGCTGCCACCGACAGGCTAGCCCAGAGCTGGCTTGGAGCCCAGGCTGGCAGCGGGGCCGAGTTACAAGCCGGTGCTGAGTTCGGGGAAAGGTGGCCCCTCACTCGCCGCATGGCCAGCATCCCACACTGTAGCCACTTGCAGTCTGCATAGGGCTGCCTGTGCCTATTCCAGACAACCCTGCGTGGGCTGCGAGTGCCTGCAGCAGGGAGCACCGGCCGCAGGGCAGGCAAGAGGCCGCTTTTCCCCACGCTCGGCACCAGCTTCTTCCCTGCCGGCGAGCAGGGGGTCATGGCTGTGCACTTCCCCCCCACCTGTACCATGGGGCTGGGGGGCACTTGGTGTAAGTGGGTGCGGGAGCCAGCGGGAACATGGGGCCTGCACCGGTGTTCTAGGGCCAGGGCTGGTAGGGCCCAGAGCAGGGTGTCAGGAGCGCGGGGTCCCAGCTGGCAGTGGCTCTATGGAGTCGGGCGAGCTCCCCCTCTCCTTGCTGGTGCAGCCCAGCCTGGCTCCACAGACCCCTGCTTTGGGCCCCACCAGTGCTGGCCCTGGGACATTGGTCCCAAGATGATGACCAGGGGCCGGGGCACTTGTCAAGGGGCAGGGCTGCCCATACGGCCCTCGACAGCCTGCCAAAACTGGGTAAGTGGCCCTCCACCCAAAATAATTCCCTCCCCTGTTCTAGTCATTCTCCGTTCCTAAGCTCTGTCTGAGCATCTGTATTTGTCACCATAGGAGGCAGGATACTGGGCTTACTTGAACCATTGTTCTGACCCATATGGCATTGTCAGGTCAGAGTCTGTCTGTACACCCTTCTTCCCCCCTCATCCCTCCTTGCCTCCCTGGGGCTTCTTGCTTGGGAGTGCCTCTTTGAAGCCTTCTTTTCTGCACGCACGCACGCACGCACACACAAGCATAAACTCAAGGGAATTCTCATTTTACTCTAGTCTGGGATTGAAATGTACTAGTTCTTTTAGGTTTTTTTTAAACATGGTTTATTCATCCTTTTACTTCATATAGATAAGGAATCATTTTTCTGTTCCACTGAGTATTTTTGAAGAAGGAAGATGTCTAGGAACTGCTTCACCTAAAAATGAATTCAGCATACCATTGACCTCTTATAGGTAAAATTTAGATTTTTTTTTAAATGCAGAATATATTCTATAAATTGTGATTACTCTTATACATCCAATTAATGTCACTGCTCTAAAAATGAAATAAATATACTTTTAAGAAGTATTGTGTCCAGTAGCAGTCAGTCCATTGCAGGCTAGTATTTTCTCAGATCCCTTAAGCTAAGCGGAAACAATTCTGCTTAATAATTGGATAGGAGACCTTAGACTCTTGTGAAATCTGAGCCTTGGTGTTAAGAATTTGAGTCCTATTGATTGGTTCATTTGACTATCCCAGCCAAAATGATCCTAGAAATAAGTTCCAATAAGTACTAGGCTTTTTCCCTTGAATGAGTTGTGAATTAATACTCTCCTATAACTTATGTTTTACTTCAGTGTCCAGTTTTAGAATAGAAATCATTGAGACATTGATTGGTGAAGCTTCAAATCTACCTTTAATTACATTAGGTAGTATTGTCTCCTAGGAGCTGGGCAACTACAGGGGCCAGGCAACTAGTGCTATACCACTTAACTGAATATGTTTCTTTATATCACTGGAGGTGAACAGAAAAGGAAAAGCTGTTGGAGTAGGGGCTGTAGAGTAACCTGGACCCTAGTACCTTTTATAATTCATTTTTATGTGTGTTTATATATTATTGTTTGGTATATTTATTATTTTTATATATTATTATTTATTTTGATGTGTAAACTATCTCTGTATTTTTTAAGATTACTTGTATAGATACTAATCTATGTATGTGGTGTGTGTCAGTCTGCTCTCTCACACTTCCTGTTACAATGTCAAAACTCCTTTCAAAGCAGTGATTTTTTGGAGTCGTGCACATTTTTCTTAACTGAGCTAAATGTTTTTGTGGAAGACTGCATAAGAAGCTATGGTGGGGATCTTGTCATTTTTTTTTTTCAACCTTTACAAGCATCTCTGATTTAGCAAAGGTTCTGGCGCTGAACTCTAGCCTCTCTGAGTGTCCTTTAGAGCAAGCCTTTAGCATAGCTTCTTTATGATCATGAGCCTTTTCAATTCAGAGTAGATAGTTGAAACACGGGATCCTTGCACTGCCAAATTAGCTCCGTTTGTCCTGGAAACTTTACTTTTTGCTACATTGTATTATAGATAATGAAACTGAATAATTTCAGAATATATTTTATAGGGTTTAGTGGAGTTAGTTACATCTGCTTCATTGCTCTAGGCATGTTGTTCTTTCTGTTTGGCAGACTTACATCCTGGTAATGACTTCAAAAAGTTTGAAACACATTTACTGATACAGTATTGCCAAGCTGTCCAACTTCTGAGGCCCCTGGGAGTCTCATGCCACATGGGTTGGGTTGCACCAGTTGGGGCTGCACCATGTGGATCTCTTCACCCCCTCCACTATTGCTATGCCACACAAGTGCATGAGCACAATCTCCCCACCCTCCCATGATGGTCACTAATTTTGCCCTGCCCTACACACAGCCATGATCTTCCCCCCCTCCCCTTCTATTCCAGCCTCGCCCTTCAGCTCCCCATGCTGCTGCACTGTCCTGACCCAAGGTGAAGGCAGAATGGAGAATCCAGAGAAGGGGAGCTGGGGGGAGGGAGCTTGGAGACTGGTTGCTATTGCATGGGGGAGTAGCTGCTGGGTGAGAGCTTAGGGGGGGGGGGGAAAAATTATGGTCACTAATTTTGCCCTGCCCTACACACAGCCATGATCTTCCCCCCCTCCCCTTCTATTCCAGCCTCGCCCTTCAGCTCCCCATGCTGCTGCACTGTCCTGACCCAAGGTGAAGGCAGAATGGAGAATCCAGAGAAGGGGAGCTGGGGGGAGGGAGCTTGGAGACTGGTTTCTTGTGGATGGGGGAGTAGCTGCTGGGTGAGAGCTTGGGGGGGGGGGGGTACAAATTAACCCCTTGCTGGCCACAGGTCAGACAACCCTGCAATATCTGAATCCAAGAAGCAGATTGAATCAAATTTCTGAAAGCAGTGTATCAACTTATTTCATGCCATATATACCAGAAGGATCTTTACCTAAAATGTGTGCTGCATCCCACAGTAAAAGAAAGCAACAATTTTGTCTTCTCCAAATATAAGAGACAGGAAATTTCATAAATGCATACTTCCAAGAGTCCCTGCTTCATAAGGATTTCTGTATATATACACCTTCACTTTAAAAGTATAAACAAACTTTAGCTAGTAGTCTTTTTCATTTTTTTTGTTTGCTTGCTATTTAATGGCTGTCTGCCTCAATTTTATAATTTGTTGGATTTCTACAGACAACTACAAGACAATGTAAATATACAGAATTGAAATGTTAGAATTAAAATGTTTGTTTGCTAAAGTTTGTTACTAACTGAAAGCTAATGTTCTCCTCTGCAGGTCCGTACTTAGTTTGCAACCTGTAACTGATGAAAATGGAGTGGGAGGAGAATATGAAATGTGTGAAGGAATTAGCTTTGATGAAATTATGAAAAATGTCGACAGCCTGTTACAGAGGAAATGCCAGCCTGTGAAGTCTGCTAGCCATTCATTTATCATTAATATTGTGCCAACAAAAGATACCTTGTCATCTTCAGAATGTGGGGATGTTCAATGGGATTTCCCATATGTTGTTCATTTATGGCCTTCTGTTCTTCTTCACAATCTTCTCCCTTATCAAATGACTTATTCTCTAGAGGTAATTCTTCACAAGTATATTTTAATGTTCTAGTATAGGTCATTCAAATTGGTTGAAGCTCTGTTTTTATAAAGGATAAATCTGAACAAACAGGAATGACTTTCTTGGTGTACTAGTGCGGCACAGCCTTAGAGTTAGGAACCATCCTTGGTTTATAGGAGGAGAAATTATACTTGAGTGTGAAAGAGGCATGCCTGAATCTTTCCGAAGTATTTGTATGCCACCAAGTATTTCTACAAAAAGAGAAAATTCAAGACTTATTTATACTAGTTGTAACTCACATAGCATGTACCAGTTCTGCGTAGGAGGAGAACATATTTTTGGTTTGCAAGTCGAGATGGAACCCAGTTATTCATGTATATTGGGATTGTCTAACTAAGTGGCATCCAGAGGCTGTATGTTCCAGTATAATACCAAGGGCTTGTTTGCCTTATGTAGCTTTTGCTGATAACTGCAGAATAGTAACCAGAGTGCATGCATACACGCATGGCTTGTAGCAGCTCTGCAAAGCTTCTGCCTGAAACATCCAGCTGTACTGCAACAGGTGTAGTACTAACTTTCAGGAACTTTTGACACCACTGAACATGAGCTACTGTTTGATAACAAAGGGAAACCGCTAGTCTGTCTTGCATTGCCATCCAGTGGTTCAGGTAAATCTTGAAGTTGATCAGTTGGCATTAAACAGACAGTTAGCAAATGATTTTAACTCTGGTGTTTATCAAAAATCTTTTCCATTTGTGACTTCATGTATATATAAGACCCGTAGTTATAGGCATTTTTAATTTCATATCAAATGTATTTGTTTTCATGTAAATAGGAATGAGTTGTTATTAACAGAATAAGATGTAAATGTTACTATGTATCACTAGAATATCATGAATGAAATTGTCATCTGATTTTCATAGATTTCATAGACATCAGGGCTGGAAGGGACCTCGGAAGATCATCGAGTCCAGCCCCCCGCCCAAAGGGCAGGAAGTCAGCTGGGGTCATAGGATCCCAGCAAGATAAGCATCCGGTTTCATCTTGAAGGTGTTCAATGAAGGCGCTTGAACCACCTCCGGTGGCAGGCTGTTCCAGACCCTGGGGGCTCGGACAGTAAAGAAGTTCTTCCTTATGTCCAGCCTGAAACGATCTTGAAGTAGTTTGTGACCATTCAACCTCGTCATCCCTTGGGGCGCTCTGGTGAACAAACGTTCCCCCAGATGCTGGTGGTCACCCCTGATAAACTTGTAGGTGGCCATCAGATCACCCCTGAGCCTGCGCTTTTTCAGGCTAAAGAGCCCCAGGGCTCTCAGCCTGTCATCGTAGGGTCTGCTTCCCTGACCTCTGATCATGCGCGTGGCTCTTCTCTGGACTCTCTCAAGCTTCTCCACATCCTTTTTGAATTGTGGAGCCCAAAACTGGACACAGTACTCCAGCTGCGGCCTCACTAAGGCCGAGTCCAGGGGGAGAATGACGTCCTGGGATTTGCTTGAGAAGCATC